TGGCGTTCGCTGTGAAAAATCTATTCGAATAGAATACGTCAAGCGCATTTTGAATCGTTTCATTGGTTGTTTTACAAAATATCTTTAGAAGTTCAAAGAACGATTGACCACTAACTCGAAAATCATTTGTCAGAAACGAAAGTTCGAATGCATCAAGTTGCACCGCACCAAAGTAAGACAGCCAATAATCTTGAAGAAATTCACTTGTGCATATTTCATGGTAACGAGGAATAATCGTGAGCACACGCTCGTGAGATATCGACATATGTGTGCATTGGCATTCCAATCCTGATGAATGTTGTAAATGTAATTCTTCAAAATCGTCCATTGAAGGCGAATCAAAATTGTAGGTATTCGTATGTGTCGTGATAAATGTATAACAACCCAGAATAATGAGACCAATCAGTAAAAATAGAATATATAAGCGAGTGGCAATAATCTCTGCACGTTCGTCTTCAGGATCATTGTCGTCATCTTGTGAAAACAAGTTGAATGTAAAAATCGTGCGATGTGCGTGGGCAACGACAGCTAAGAAAAAGAAATAGCCGCAATTTAGGTTCATTTTTCAAAATCTTCTTACGAACCTTCGTTGAGTGGTCTTGGTGCCACGCTCAGGATGGCTTCTTCAATACTGGTTGGATTGTTCGGAGCTGCTACAGGCTTCCGTCGTCTTCGGTTCCATACGATTCGTTTCCATAGTTTAATCATAGCTGGCATAATCAATTGCCAAGCAATAACAAGACCACCGAAAGCACTTACGCATACAGTAAAGATTGTTGCTAGAGAAACTGGACCAACGTAACTGTAGGAAAGAGTTCGTGGTGCACAAGCAGCAAAGTATGCTTCATAATTCGGCTTGCTTTGCCATGATTCAAGAAAAAGGGATTCGTCAAACATGGATTCAATCGTCGCATTAATTGGAAATCTAGAACGGGGAGTTTTTAATGCTTTCGGGCGAGGTCGCTGTAATTGAAAATTTAAAATATTGATGCACGATTGGTTATAGAGACATTCAAGCGTTGATTGACGCATGGATTCAAGTGGAAGGCAGCCCGACATCAAACCTGGAATCTAGAACAGATGCACAGAGTTTCTCTTCTCATTCTAAAAGTAGGCGTCGCTTCTTTTACCTGCGTACGAGACATTGCTATCGATTGGGTTGCATTGAGTGTCTCCGGTGGCATCCATTTATCAAAAATACCAGCTGGACTAACACACCGGTTTCCTGCTGGTCGACAGAAGCAATTCGACTTGTTTGTCATACTTTGTCTAGCATAGACACCGTTAATTGCTAAGTACGAACGTGTACCAGGTTTCGATTGAATGTAATAATTAGTTCTTAGTGCAGAAATGACTCGATTTTCAACTATACTTAACGAGGTCAAAGCTGCTATTCGTTTTTCGCTAACTATTGTATTCCGTTTGAAATTATTGAATACGACATCCATAATTCGTATGAATTCAGCACGAGAGAAAGCCCGATGTGTCACGAGATGAGTCGACGCAAACGTATGTTGAGCACTCTTAACAGCTCGACGCGCTGTACGACAAAGTAGAGCAAGTGCACGAAATTGCGCAAAAGTAAATGTTCGAAAGTCGAGGAGGTGATGAACGGTAGCATTGGGGAGAAAAAGAGACGAAATCCATTTGTCACTAATGAAAAAACTCGAACAAATCGGATGAAATTCGGATGAGAGATTAACAAATGTGCTATATGGAATCGATAGCTGAGTGCAAGGAGCACTGAGCGTATGTGGATGAAGAGCTTCGAGTCGTTCGAAATCACCGAGAGAAAAATTCTCGAGAGTGATGTCATGTGTTCGGATACGAAGGCTAGCGTACGCAATGATTGTTAGAATGGAGATGACAAGAACAAAGAAAAAAAGTCGTGTATTAAGTATTTGTTCAGCATGTGTAAGTGCTGATGACCAAAGTGGATGATCAGAGAAAACATTCAGTTCACGAATGGCGCGAATAAGACGAGAACGAGCAGCGACATAAACACTTTCTGTAACAGATCGTGTCGTCGGCGAATTTCTTGCATTCTTCATTAAAATAATATTCACATATACTCAATAGATTCGTCAATACAGCATGATGATAGTTCTTTTCTTCGTTTTCCAGTATAGCTAGATCTAATCAGTTATATACATATAAACTAACCGAGGAGAACACGACGATGTTATTTCTTTTTCTTCACGCTACACAAATATCAATGATAAACAAAATCCATATTGCATTGTTTTCACTTATAATCATCGCGGGGAAGTCAATACATGCAATATCGATATTTACTACCAAACGCTGATTATATCCATTTTGTCCTTTCCTTTTCGAAGAATTTTTTGTAGTAATAGAATCAATTAGCATTCTCTACCCCATACTGTTTACATCGTTATATCTATGTAGGAAAAGTCGCACAAGCAAATATTACTTTGTTGTTCGTGTATGAGGACATCTGCTAATTAACTTCGCTTGAGTTTTTATTAGTCCGATCAATCGTACATCAGAGTGTGTTCTCATCATTTGGGAGAAAAATCAAGTACAAAACATTCATTCAATCATCTTCTTGTGTTCTTGATGTTACCGCTTGACGAATACAAACTTTTGGAGCACTACCAGTTGATTCTTTTGTTTTATCATTCTCACAGTTATCGTTGACCTTCGGTGTGCTGGTCATCGGTTTATCGTTCGTTTTTGCGTATTGATGAGCTGCCTGTCCTCTATATTAAGTAGAATACAGTGAGAATATTTATGAAAAAGAAAAATTAATCATAGGTGCCGTTTTGCGAATACAAGATATCGAACACTTTGAAAATTACCCGCTAGTATTGAGTTTTTGTTGTTGTTCCATGTGTCGCTGTTGTTGTCGATTACTGACTTCACTAGTGAAAAAGAAAAATGGTTCTCCGTCGTATGGCATTTCGTTTTTTTTTTCGTTCTATTTTATGTTTGATTTTCTCTCTCGCAATTCGGAGAGTGGAAGCAGATGAATCACTCATTACAATTCACTTTTAAAATGTAATATAAAAAAATATGTTATACGTTTTCTTTTCGATGAATACAAATACAATTGATTTTTTTGCAACTACCACTGAATAGATTATTTGAAATGTTTTTCACAATACTCAAGTCTTTCATTTTTTGTTTCAAAGTATGACCCAAAGGCTAGTTACTAAAAGAAGAAATTGTCAGATGCTCTTTACTTCACACCCTCAAGAAAGGCTCTGAGAGATCAATATATGCCTATACTATATTTAGGATTTATGCAATTGATCATCATCAGCTGAGAGAAACATAAATCGACCAGCTGTCTCTCTGCTGGCATTTCACCTATAGGCAATCATAATTCATCAGTACTGCATAACCTGTTGAATTCCAATTTGTGTTCTCTTTGCCATTATTCTATTAGACTCCAATCATTTGCTGCGTTGTTGCATAGCACTTTATATTTCGAAAAGTATTATACACTGACGAGAATCTTTCACTAGCCTGTAGCTTTCCGCCATTGTTTATTAGTAAAAAAAATAACACAAGAAATTCATTTCATTTAGGATTTTTAATTGGATTGCAACTTCTTGGTGCACATTGTCATACAACTACCTAAGTCCTTCACCGAAGTTTCGCGATACTTGGCACAGATCTCTTGACAAGTAATAAGCCATTTTGGTACAGCGTGACTTGGAGTTGCATGACACATCGACACGTACGTACCGATGAGCACAACGAAAATGAAGGCAGCAAACAGAATAATTCGCATCGCTTCTTCTGTTGAATTGAACAATCAAATAATCTGTTTTCACTTGTCCGTTATGTGTCAAGAATGATCGCGAATAAATCGTTCATTCCAAACGATTCGTAACTATTTTCTCTCGTCCGTTATGCATATCGCCGATAACCATTCGTCCTGGCTATGTAAAGAAATCGAAGGAAAATGTAGTGGTTTATTCATTGCTATTCATATAAACTAATTCCGTCGTGAAAGGAAAAAATAACTTATACTAACAACTATCTCGATGTTTCAATACGAGTCAATAACAATAGTCGGCACATGTTCGAGAATAATGTGTATACATATTCTCTTCTCTCTTGTATGATCCTTTTTCTTCGCTTTGTTACACCTTATGTATTCGATCAAGCACACTACGCATGTCACACTATCATCGAGTCAATCGTGTTTCATATACATCATTAAATCACCTCGTTTCATCACATGTTTGTGTTTATATACTAATATATGTAAATGCTACCAGCTTATCTAATAAACAAATCCGAAATTTGATTCCACACAATTACAGTTCATTAGTCTATACGAGCGTAAATATTCATATTATAAAAAACACTCGCCTAAAATGTTTTTTCTTCAAACGATTCGACATTTCAGATAAAGTAAATGTATTGATTCTAACGATGGGCACCACCACGACATATTCATACAGTTATGTCGAACCAACAATTGTTTCTCTTTTAATTTTATCGTCATTCATTTATCTTCTCAACGCCGCTCGTTATATCGCACAGCAGCTGTTCTATGCCGGTCTTATCGGTGAGATTCTTGTCGGTATTATCTATGCTGCGCCTTTAGCAAATATTTTGAAAACTGAATGGGAACAAACAGTGCTAGATTTCGGCTACTTGGGATTGTTAATCTTAGTGTTTGAAGGAGGATTGGAAACACGTCTAGACTTTTTAGCTGTGAAAAGTAATCTCTTTCTCTCGTCGATTATTGGTTTGACAGGAATTTTAACTCCGATCGGTTTATCAATTTTCTTGTGTACAGTTGGATTCAAATTTTCATTGCTCGAATCTTTTACAATGGGTGCTAGTCTAAGTGCAACAAGTCTCGGTACAACGTTTGCTATTCTCTCGTCACAAGGAACATATCAATTGAACAAAAGTCGTATGGGTACCATTCTCGTCGGCGCAGCACTATTGGACGACATATCTGGATTAGTCATGGCCAGTGTGATTGAAAAACTTGGACACATAGGCGAACAAAACCTTCCATGGTTAATTTCAAAACCGATTGTGTCGTCAGTAGCTATGATCGTTATTTCTACTCTACTAGCACGATTTCTATTTGGACGAATATGGGTTAAAATAGAATGTGAAAATCGGATTATTAAATGTTATTCAGATCAAATCTTGTTATTCTGCTTAATTGCAGGCCTATCTGCATTTGTCACAATCGCATCGTATACAAGTGCATCGACATTGGTCGGTGCTTATTGTTGCGGAGCTACGTTGAGACATTTAGATGAATGTCGAAAGAAGGCTTCGGCCGATGTTGAACATTCAAATACAACATCGTTTCAACATCTATTCGAAAAATATATTCGAACAATAAAAGAATATCTATTTGCACCATTCTTCTTTGCGTCAATTGGTTTTGCAGTGCCGTTCTTACAGTTATGGCATGGGAAAGAACTTTGGCAAGGTATTGTATATGCGTTATTGATGATTTTAGGCAAGTTTATTACTGGAGTATGGATTATCATTTGGACATTTGCTTCGACTCGATTTAAGAAATCAAAAGTAACAAATGTTTCACCAACAACAGTGCCCGTATGTAGTTTTGACTTTAGTTAGTAATGAAGAAGAAGCAAAATATGACCTTCCGTTTTCTTGTTCGTAAAGGTTGAAATAGCTATGGTTGAACAAGTTCCAATGTCACAACCATCTACTACATCTCCGGTACTCATCTCTCATCGAAGTTTATCATCTAGAAGCGTTGATACTCCTCACGATGAGATCATAGGAACAAATCCGCCTGAAGTTTCAGCGAAAAAGTCGCGCAGTATTTATCCGGCGCTGATCGTTGGATTAAGTATGGTATCTCGTGGTGAGATTGGCTTTTTAATTGCAAATATTGGTGTGTCTGCAAATGTTTTGTCCGCAGAAGCATTTATAGTTACAATTTGGGCTATATTACTAAACACCATCATGGGCCCAATAGCTGTTGGAATAATGATTAAAGTATTAGGATCGAAATTGAGCGATGGAGTGTGGATTGACTAATCGATTTTCATACGTATTTCTGCTTTTTTGGCAGTTGACTATATGAAATAACAAGATAGCTCGATAAAGCACGACTCTTTCTCTATATAATATTTATTTAACTATTTCGAATGGTTTGTTTACAGATTATCAATGATTCAACATCATGACGCTTTCTCCTTCCCCAAAAGATTTGCTATTCTTTTTTTCTTCTTCTGATTCGGTGCATAAACAAATTCATGATTTTCAAATTGTGTCACCCTACCTGTCAGACAACATGATTCATCAAGCAGTCAACAACGCATGGGAAAATTCTTTTCAGTTCCAACAGGTATATAAATGTTGACAACAGAGTGATGGACTTATTCAATACAGCATCGCAACAACATGCAGAACATGTCTGTTCAATGTTTCAACGAAGAAAAGCATTCAGTCCTACAAAATACTCATGATCATTCTGCTGCTGTCAATAGTTTAGTCTGCGAAGGAAAATTAACAACATTCAAGCAAGCTCGAGCTATAACGCCGGACACAATAGGTTGTCATACAATGATCACTACACAAAAAACTATTCTACGTCAAATATTACGACTAGCAAAGTGTATTGAATCTCGTTGCTACAACCTGTTGTTAAAATATGCATTTACTTGCTATCCTCCGGAATCGTTTCAATGCGATGGTGAAAATGAGAATGACTACCATCTCATTTTTCATGATACTTGTGAAATTAACAAGCAACATAAAAATTTGTGCAAATATGCATCTTACCTCTATCGGATATCAGCAGTTATGAAGTGCACAGTATTAGTAGGAAGCATCGTTGATCTACCATCGAATATTACCTTTCCTCAAACAGATAAAACCGCGGCAACAACTTCGAAAAGTGTGAAGACGGAATTAGATGAAATGTGGAACAAACAGCAAAAAGCAGCTAGTCGACAGACTTTATGGTATTCTATGAAATCCAGCAAATATTTCAAATGTTTTCAACTTCGACATTGCAACAGAATACGTTCAGAGAACAGAATTGAATATGCTCGAAGTAGATTCGAACGATTAGGTGGAGAAATAGAACATGGCGTTGTTTTCGTGCGTGGACGGAATGGAAATGCACTGTTGAAAATGCTCTACGTCTTCATTGAAGAGTTTCTAATTCATACTATAAGTCTGAAAAACGTCAAGATAACCAAAGATTCACTTGTTCAATTACTAAATTTCATTTCCCATGAAGACAACATCATCAAACTTGAATTGGATGACGTTTCTGTGAAAGACTACTTCCGATGTGTGAAGACACGAGATATAATTTCAATGCTCAATCATGCAGTCGAAACGAATGATAAACTTACTGTTCAATATGTAATCACTAAATCATTCACGAAAGTTCAAGAACATTTGTTCGATATCGTTGTACACACAAACTCACGACTAATATTTCAAATTCAATTAGAAAAGCAAACTCCGTCAGTCGAACTATTCGGTACACATCAACATGGTTTCGTTATATCGATCAACAAACATAACACAATGAATAATATCGTTTCTTCTGCAAAAATTACCCAGATTTTGCAACAGTGGAATGTATCAGAGTTTCAATTACATAATGCAGTTCTTTCCGAGGATCTGAAAGATATTCAAAGTCGGTTCCTTGCAATTGGTAAGCCGTTTCAACTGATTTTCTACTGAAAAAAAAAGATAAAGACATACTGCTACTGGTAGTTTTTTTATAACATTTTTTTGTGATGTCTTATGTAACGAAAAAAGAGTCTCTTCGCGACAGGATGTGGCTTTCGTTAATGAAGGAAATCGAAGTTGATAGGCTGCTTCAACAACTGACTACGTTTGCTGTCGACGCGAACAAGACACAATTGACTTTAGTTGAGGATTAACACGAGACAACGTAATGGGTAAAAGAAGCATACTCAAAGCAAGGCACATAGTTTGTATTCGATAGACATAATGATTTAGTTCTTGTGTGATAAGTCATTGAATCTAGAAGGAAAAAGAAAGTATAGCACCTGCAATTAGAGCACAAACGGTAAATAAGAGATGCGATGTACAGTTAGTCCATTTGTGTCGATCGTAACAACAAAAGCCGATGTGAATAAACGATATGAAGCATTCTGTCAAGTGCTTGCAGCGCAAAAGCACTGAATAACCATGCAAATAAATAAAAACAGTATATAAGCACACACGGGACAAACAGGAGACTCTAAGCAAATATAAATATCAAAGATGCCAAGGATCGTACTACTACTCATTGATAACAAAAAAAGAGAACACAATCACAACGCCAAAGTAAATGTTCGCTGCAAGTAAAAGATTACTGTCCAGGGAATTTTGACCACGTTGGGAGATTCATAACAGAACAATGAGTATAACAACAGATGCTCTAAACTCACTGTAAAAGCCGAAAAAACAAGTATTATAAACCAATTGACTATTCTGCCATTCTATAGTAGTCGTTCAAACAAATCGTGAACAAAAGTATATGTCTACAATGGAAATGAGATTTAATAAGTAGCTTTGGATATAACCGCGAGCTACTCGTCCTCTTAAGACACACAGAAAGATTCTCATGGTTAACGAAAGACAAAAAAATACAAATACACTCTTTTGAGTAACAAGAATGACAGTTTTAGATCGTTAATGATGTAGACATCATGATCCAGCTATTTACAGCATCGATATTTTATCTATTCAATTTCAATCAGTTTCTTAAATAGTGCCACACATTAGAACCTAAGGACCGCACTTCAAATCAGCTTTATTCATCATCAATAAATTCCATTATATCCTTTTATTATTCTCGCCAGTAGTTTCTCTAGCTATACCACCATAGCTTATGTTCTGCATCCACAGTACAAAATATCAATTAACACAATCGGATTATTATCGGACTTTTCTATAAAGAAAAACAAGTTTTTAACCTATTATAATTGCTTATTAAACTCCCGGTGACCCTCTAGATGATATTTGATTTCGCATAACAATAGACTATTCAATCATAGAATACCTCACTATATTTATTACAAACTCTGAAAAATTATATATCACAAAAAGAATATTATGTTGATGGATAAATTCAAACGCTATGCCAATTACGTCCAAGCCAAAATGCCGTGAGGATGGATGAAACAAAGGTGAAAATACCCGCTGTAACCATCAAATAATAACTGTAGTGATTTGGATCATGACGATAGTAACTAACATAAGCAGCGACAATGAATATACCCCCAAGTGCAAGGAGAATCACTGCGGACGTCTTGATTGTACTAGAGAAACTTGTGATTAATCGTAACGCGAAAAGTATAGTTGCGATGATTCCCAAGAAAATCAAAAACATGGCGATGAAAGACAACACTGTAGTGCTCAGACAAGTCGAAGTACAAATTTTCAACAAATGACGTCCATTCCAACCGGGTAAAGCAACAGCCAGAATTACAAAAAGTAATGCAATGCATGCGAAAATAACTGCAATTATCCATGTACGATCACCCGAAGAACTTGAACCACTGCGGACAACATGAGTACTTCGAACGACTGTTCTCCCCATAATTTATGTCGACTGATACAGAAGACAAAACAAAAAGTAATGACTTAGAGTTGTTGTGTTGGTCTTATCTGTTCGAGTTATCATACTCTCGCCCCCTCCCTCTACATCTTACACAAGCGCGGAGTCAAAGTCGAAAAGGACATCATTAAGTATTATTATCATACTATGGCGTTGTAGCGAAGGAATATTTTGAATATCATCGCGATTTATAAAAAGAAGCGAAGCACAAATCTAATTTTACCGTTCTTTTTTTCTTTCTTTAACTAAGTTGCACGTCATAGTCCGTCGTTTCCTTTCGTAGCGACAGAAATGGAAAAAAGAGAAAAACATACACAGATTCTGTTTCACATCGTCAGCACATGGCTATAAGCTAACTATAGAGAATTCTATGTCTCGAGCTATGCACAGTGAGAAATTCTTTGTTTTGGATTTGTTACCTGTCGAAATTCTCCACGATATTTTTGCTTATCTCTGGGCACATGAAATTCTCTATTCTTTCCATAAAATTAGTCACAAAATCGACAGTATTATCACTAATCATCGAAATTATCATGTAAATTTTCGGTCGATTCTAAAACAACACTTTGACAATGTTTGTAAACATATTCAACCAAAGCAAATTATTTCACTCATTTTATCGGATTATACTGTTATCTATTTGTCACTTTTCCCCATCGAACAATTCGCTTGTCTCTGTGCTTTGACACTTTCTGACATCCAAGAGAATCATCATGCACTCTTCGCCAATCTGAACCGACTGAAACGCGTAACTGTTTTGGAAATTGATACACTTTCTTACCTTGAATTTATCGAACCAACAATCCAACTCAAACGGCTGATTGTAACAAAATATTCCGAAGCTGATTATTATCACGAATCCTTACTCTCTTCTTTGATATTATCAAATCTTCGATCTCTTTCGTTACCTTGCTGTTCATACCATCAACTACGTCAGATTCTTTCTCAAGCATCTAAACTATCATCACTAACAATTTCACTATCGATATCAGATTGTACAGGAATCGATTATTTTGCAGAACAACGTCAGGATATGCCACTTACTCTAACTCATCTCAATCTATCCATGCATACGTTCAGTAAGTAGATGATTATTGAGAAGTATTATTCTTTATTTGGTTATGTTCTTTTTTCTGCTCGAACAATATCGCGTCTTCTATTCGAACGATTTCTTGCACGGATGCCTCGATTGCAACAACTCGAGTTAAACGTTACTTCCGGAGGAAGCTCCAACCTACTCGACGGTCAACAATGGGAAAAGTTTATCATCGAGCACTTACCATTACTCTCGATTTGTAATTTCAAGTTTAAAATACTCAATATTGATCACCATAAATATGACGCACATGATATTCTCGTTCATTTTCGTTCAAATTTTTGGTTAGATACCAATCGTCCATGGTATGTAGCGTTTGATTCTATAAATCTTATTCTTTATACAATACCTTACTTTGCTTCTCAAATAATCAAATATCCTCATAATGATCGTGATGTTTTCCATCCGTCGACATTGCCGAATGAGAAACAAACAGTTCTATATGATCGAATCGACGAAATCGAACTTGGCCCAGATTGTAAATTACTTTCTCGGTATCGTTATGTCAAGAAACTTACATTATATATTTCAAACCTTGATACAACCACTTTCGATGTTTCGCGTGTTGAATATTTATGTATTAAAACAGCTACGTGGTCATTAAAAAAGCTATTCGATGTAATCAAACGATCGATGACCAATCTTCATCATCTCAATATCGATTGTAATTTATCATGGACAAAAATGACGAACACTGATCACCTACAACAAATCTGCGTATTAAACCTTTCACAGTTCAATACTTCACCAGGAAATGACCAAATTGAATTAGGTTATCTTTTCCCATACGTTGAACGTCTAACAATTACAATTGATGATTGCCAGCAGATGATTCGCTTTATCGATCAAATGAAATGTTTATCGTACGGTTCATTTCGTGTCATCAATATGGAGCCAAGTCTGGTCGATTCATTACGTCAGTGGATCATTGACCGTTCATCTCGATTGAAGATCAACGAGAATTTCACATTGAAAATCAATCCTGATCAACAATGTTGGATTCATATTTGGATGGTTGGCGATTATAAACCATTGACTGAGGTCGATATGCAAGCGAAAGAAAAACCTCTTCTACGTTTCATTTGTTCTCGATATTGCTGTTTATTGTAGGACTTTCTATATTCGAACATGCCTTTTCTTTGTTAAAATGACACATAAAATAAAGAAAACCATATCTCTCTATATGTCAAGGATTACTTGCAACTATATATTTGTCATTCGTATGTTATTAACCGACTTTCGTTCTTATCGAATTAATTGTCATACGACAATCAAACGCCTGAAATCGTATTTTATTGTTCTTTATAATGTACGATACGATTTCATACTGTTTCTAAAACATATTTGGATGATGATCGTTCTATTAGTAATCCGTTTTGTTATTTGCTGCAATATTATAGTTAGTGGCATTTCGAACTGTCCGAATAAGCAAATAATCAATGAGTCGCTCGAGAAAGTACACATTCCTGGTGCTGTAATCATTGTAGTGAATGCTACTCATACACTCTACGAACAAGCTTTCGGCTATCAATCGCTGGTATCAAAACAACCTATGGATATTGATAAATCAATCTTTTCTCTTGGTTCAATCTCAAAAACGTTTATTGCCACTGCAGCTATGCATCTTGTTGAACAAAATCTCATTGATCTCGATGCAGATGTTAATAAATATTTGAAAGAACCTCAAAGACTCATTTTTCATCCAGACTATACCACATACACTATGACTCTACGAAGATTACTCTCACACTCGGCAGCTACCTACCTCAGCCTTCCCGAGCAATATCCTCAATATAAACTAGGTGATGAAGGCTTCAGTGAATCATTGGCTGATGTGTGTTTCAAGTATGTCAATCCTAATACATCCAATTGGTTATCAAAACCACCGGGTGCTGTAACATCGTATTCAAACATTGGTGCAGCGTTAGCTGCATTGGTTGTTGAACGTGTAGCAAATATGTCTTATATCGACTATGTCGAAGAAAAGATACTCAAACCGTTGGGAATTGATATCACTAAAACCGGTGTGCGATTATCCGATTTTGGTAATGTGGAAGATATTGTCAAGCACTACGCCTACGCATCTAACAAAACTCATGTTGATCAATGGAATAGTATAATGCCTCAATTAAACATTTCTCCGATGGAAGTAAGTATATCATCATCATCATTCTCGATGTTAACGTTTACTCTTTTGATTATATAGGACCATTTTCCAACTTGGCTTTCTATTCCACATTTCAGTTTCAGCCCATATCCATCGGGTCTCTTGCGTGTATCAGGTCGCACTCTATCGACGTTCCTTCAAATGTTTCTCAGGAATGGATCTAATATCCTTCATCCTAGGTCGATTGCGGAAATTCGAACAGTGGTTGGGTGTGGTCTCATATCGCCCTCTGATCAGCAATCAACGCAACGATTTGGACTCAGCTGGTATTGGGAAACGATGAGTGATGGCCGTCGATATTTCGGACACGGCGGTTCCTTGCCAGGCATAGTCAATTTAATGTTAATTAATGAGAAGAACAATCTGGGCGTGATCGTTCTTTCCAATGGAGATATTATTGCACCAAATGATTTGTCAAAAGCAACTCTTGCAACGGTGCAAGACCTTCATATGTCACTTTTCGACTGTTTCGAGAGCAATTCTATGCATTCGTTTTCATTCGATTCGAAACGGAGCGATTTTCTTTTTACAATTTTTATTCTAGTTTTCTTTCAATTTTCAGTAATTTAAATGTTCATATTTTACCCTGTATGAAAAATTTTATCGAAAAACTGATGGTCTCTGATGATTTTACTGTTGATGGACATCAATTGTGACTTTTTAAATAATGTGCAAATATTCTTGTCTTGCTGTATGATGTCACGTTCTTTATAATCTATAAATATTGATACAAGGTAAAATGCTGGAAGAGTCCTGAATGGCATTGCCGTTAGCGAAAAGTGTCATGCAATTTTTGTTGTACTTTGTTCCGTTCTGTTCTATTCTATTCTTTTTTTCATCGCAGGAATCTATCATAACGGTCTACGTCATTCGATAAGTCAAAAGTTTTTTCCCTAATAACGTAATAAAATGTCGTCATCCTTTATCGTTTATAAAAAAAAAGGCATTCGTTGAATAGCCGCTCACATCTGCTATCATGAATTCAAGTTTCGTGCCAGTCGGAACACAGAACCGACGTACTCGTCAAACTGGGGAAAGTTTTCCTGCAGTCTTGGTGCTTATTTTACTCATTTCTATTTGGTTCCTGTCCAATTTTACTATATTTATCTGCGCCATTGTACTCGTTCTGGGTGCGAAGTTAATTACTGATACTTGTGAAGAAAGGAAAAATGTAATCGGTACTTCGTCACAACAGCTACGGGCACATGCGGTAGAACACGATTATTCTGAACGAATTTCGGTCGCTGTGAAAGGTTAGTTGAATTTTTATCAATGACGCCAAGCCAACGAGCAAGCTCATATGCATTTAAATTCAGAACCGCAACATGAACCTGTTCAGAATATTGTTTCAACCGATCCAAACAACCATATCCGACTATTATCCGAACGAGACGAAGAACAAATTAATAACTGGATTGTCGACGGTAAGAAAACAAAATACGACCCAAGATTATTTTATCAGCTATATCTTTTTAATTCTCAGAGACGGTATATGGGGTTTCAATTACGAGCAACGATGATCGGGTTGCCCATACTTCAGATGCGATGCGTCCAGCCGCAGGTAATACAGTCATATGCATAGATTCATGTAATATCAGTAATTTCTAATTTAGATCTATCGATGTCCCCATTGTCTGCCAGTGATACACCTCCATTTATAACTGAGAACCCAATGAAGATAGCTATCTCATATTCAGGAAAAAATCGAAAACGTGTTCTGAAGATTACACGACTTTTACAAAATCATATGAATCGGTTGAATTCTTCAGATTCCGTTTTTATCGATCAAGACTATCAACATGAAATTTGCCAAATTAATGGTCACAAATATGTTTGTGCAATATACACAAGAGCGCAATTAGTTGTCGTTTTCTTGTCAGATACATACCATGAATCCACCCATTGCACAGGCGAATGGCGAGCCATTGTCGACAGGTTCATTACGAACGCCAAATATGAAAACGTAAAGCAACTTCTACTAATAAAACTTGGTCCCTACAGTGACGAACATTTGAGTCTTTCTCCACGCGATTTTCCTCTTGATGCGACAAGGAGAACCAATCAGCAAATCGCTGAAATAATTGCAAAGAGATGGGCCGCTGTAGAAAAACATCTTGCTCTAACTCATAGATGATGTTTCGTTTTACGGAACTTCGTTTTTTTTCTACTGCTTCTACCGAAAAATATTTCATTAATAAAAAGTCAACTTCGTATCAGTCAGTTCTCAGATAGCAGTTCACGAGTGCCATTCCATTCGTATTCGTCACTGTCAACGCATTTCCATCTTCATACGTCCACCCTTCTGGTGTAGCATGCCGATCGGACAGTGTTCGAATTCGACAGAATCTGCTTCCATCACACTTCAGCTCATAATCATATGCAACTGCACCCACATCACTCTCACTTGTCTCACGACACACACTTTCGCTCACTCCACTCCGATAGATGTTTGCCATACTTTCATTGCGACCATCCATGCAGTTGCCCATGCCGAGTAGCATCCACTTCGCCGTTCTCGCCGGTCCATTGCCGGTTCCTGCAGCAGCAACAAACAAATCCAGTGCAGCTGAAGTCGTGGCTGCATCTCGCGATGGATCACAGGTGGTCGCTGACATCGTCGCATTCCACACCAGTCCAAATAGTCCATCGCTTTCACATCGACCTGTCGTCCAAAGTGAAATCGCGTTCTGTTGGATGAACGAACGATATTTCTGAGCACGTAGTGGATCTTTGACGTAAGCCAACAGATAACTGAGATGACGAATAAAGATGCCCTTGAACAGCTTCTGATCATTATCACAGTTGGGCTCACATGGTTCTCTCAGTATTTGTTGACTGGGTGGATAGGTGAGATACTGAATAGTTGCATCGGCAATGTTCTGTGCAATGGTGAGCAGCGTTGCGTTGTTTGTCGCATTGGCTAGCATAGCTAGTCCAGATAAGATGACACCCTGATTGTATGTCCATGTAGTTTGATTATTGTTGAGNTCACAGTTGGGCTCACATGGTTCTCTGAGTATTTGTTGACTGGGTGGATAGGTGAGATAGTGAATAGTTGCATCGGCAATGTTCTGTGCAATGGTGAGCAGCGTTGCGTTGTTTGTCGCATTGGCTAGCATAGCTAGTCCAGATAAGATGACACCCTGATTGTATGTCCATGTAGTTTGATTATTGTTGAGACAAGTGTCGTCGCTAGAAACAACGAGAAGAGTGTGAGTGAGAGTGAGAGTGAGGAGAAGAGAAGAAAGGAGGATACTTTAGTCCGTCGTTGATGAGATAGTTGTTGTTGATCATAGTGGTCTGTTCGAACCAGTGCCATTCTTTGAGAGCCCAGTCGAGATAGTAGGAGGGGGGCTTGCGAAGTAGTGATGCATAAGGATGTAGGCGCATACTACTTGTCAAGAAAAGCTCATTGGTGATGGCATTTTTATATGAATTTTTTGGACACCAGTCGATACCTCCTCGACATTTTGTAGCGTTCCATGCTCTGGTTACAATTATATCATAGATATCTGCTGCACGATATAAATAGTTTATATTTGGATCTACAGAATATGCTTGAATCCAACCTAGTAACCAATGTTGATAGTCATCAAAACATTCGCCTCCCACATCCCAAGCTGTTTTTGTATATGTTTGATTGAAAACGTATTTCAAAGATGAGTTACGAATACGTAAAAAATTAGCTAATGATTCGAGAGTATTACCCGATTGCCAAGCTAATTCATTCCACCATATACCTGATGATGCATTGTAATAGCAAGATACAAGTCGTGTAGCTACGACTTCTGCCCATTGCAATGCTTCATTCGGTGAAGATGTATCACCGATGGTTAGTTCACCAGTTGCTGGAGTAAAAAGTAAAAAAATGAAGAAAATGTGTAATAGTAACATCATTACGGCCTTTTTTAAAATTAAACAGAACGGCATATGCTGAATAATAGTTACTTTCAAGTATCCATTTTTCTTTATATGAAAAGATAAGAACGACAACTTGATAAGTTCCTTTCGTTTGTGTAAGACTGAAAGAGTTAGAATCCTTTCGAGTTCCCTACGATCTGACTGCACTATGCGTTTTGTGTTATAGGTTTTTATTTCTCTCTTGTTCGAAAGTACATTCACGGGATGTAACGGGATGAAATAGTAGATAACGAGAACTTGAAATCAGTGACATTTAAAAAGGAGAAATGGATTTGAAGAATCGTTGAGATAGTAGGGTGTGGATGATAATCATATATAACTAAAAAATTTTATTGTGACTGCTTGTCTCATTTGATTGACTTGAAATGTCTTTTCATTTTTTTCCAATAATTAAATACATGGCCGTAAACAGCTTGCTCTCTAGTTAGTATAATTTTACTTCGGTCATTCCATTTCCATAGTGAATATAAACTATTCCTAATGAGTATCCATAATCAATTTCATTTTTTTGATGTTCCGTAAAAAATGGTAAAGCAAAGGTAAGAAGGAGTAATTTTTCTTTTTCAGTATTTTACAGAGTTCGCAGGAAATATTTCGTACTGTAATAATATGACTAAATATATTATCTTTATCCGAGTTTAAGTCTCAATTCAATTCCTAGATATTTCAATTCGAATACATATTCTAACTTTCCGTTTTTTTTCCAAGTATATATTTGGATGTTTAGGAGCATCATGAAGGTATGAAGGATCATTAACTTTGTTTTGCGTATTTTTGCTAGTAGAACTAACTTATTAGGATTCTTCAAGTACATTCATAGCTGTTTGCGCCTCTTTTTCTTGATATATCATGTATTTTTGAGAAGTTCTTCACTACGGTTTCTTAAATTCAAATGGCTAGGCTATCAGCGAACAAGTGGCGGGAGGACTTCGCCAGTATTTCAAACAGAAACTGAGTTGTAATTATTTGTGCTCCTTGGCTTTGACCAATTCGTGCAAGGAACTCGACTTAAACCATTACTTTTTGCTCCCATCCGGGTGATGTAGAATGTAGTTTTGAATTCACAGCATTTCGCAGACCATTCATACCGAGGAATTCGAGAAGTATACCATACAATAATTGTAGATTCTATATAACCAGCTGCTTGATGAAGTTTGACTCGTTTGACTACTTCAATAATCACATTGCTAGCCTTTTGTGAATCATTTTTACGCAAATTAAAGAATGTGCAACAGGAAATAACTGCAATAAATATCATTGTTATTTCAAATAGCAATTAAACATGAGATTCAAATTTTCGCGTTACATGTGCGCACATTCTATAGAGCTATGACATGTTGATACATTTGAGCACAGCAAATTTATATTGACTAATCACTAAATGCCGTTCATTGATAATCAAAGCAACCAAAAATATATTTAGATATAAATGTGCGTACTACGACAATCAAAGAAAGTCATAAGTGTAAATTGAAATGGTTCGAAAATGTCGTAGAAGTGATTTATCAACAAGGTATCGCTTTTCCATCCATGTTTCTTATACTCATTTGAGGATTTTGCGAATTGTGCAGTTATGAAGTCATAATAGTTCATAGTGTTCGAAGTACTGGTTCCATTATGCACGTGTTCATCTCGCATGAGAGCATTTTTCTTTCGATCAATTAAAAGAGAAGAAGATATTACCGTGCATAGTATTTATGACGTATTCTAAAAATAGAAATGCTTAACTTATTGGCATCGTCTAAACAAAACGAGATAGACTAAAGTGCCATCAGGATGAGCTACTCTTACAATTTTATATTCTTCGAACTTTGAGCCTTTTTAAATTTTATCATAGATGTTCCTTCGTATAGTAATTGTTAATATACACGCCACGTTTTCTATTAGAATGTAATTCACATTTTAAAAAATTATCGTGAATCTCGCATTCAGGTAGAAATCCAGGGATATTATTAAGTCTTTCCTCAAAAGTTCACTACAACGTGATAATATACACAATTATTGACGATCGTCAGGTCAGTCGTATTTGAACTGAACCTATCAGCAATTTCCATGAATACAGCTGAATACATAGTTGCTTCAGGAATTTGCATACGGACAGATAACGCTTCGTCGCTTTTATGATTGTTTCCGCTAATCATGTCTTATCTAATAGCCTCAGAAAGAAAATGTACATAATTGTAGTATGCCGTTGACACAAAGTTTGACGAATACTCCTACGATTAATTTCACACAATACGCATGCCTGGGATTTTGTTTCTCTTTTCTGAAACTCCATTAATAAAAAAGAGTAATAAGCAAAAAAAGATTATACTGCCATTATTTTTCTGTAAGTTTTAATAAAACTTACATTTAGTGATTAATCAGTTCTCAGATAGCAGTTCACGAGTGCCCTTCCATTCGTATTCGTCACTGTCAACGCATTTCCATCTTCATACGTCCACCCTTCTGGTGTATCATGTCGATCGGACAGTGTTCGAATTCGACAGAATCTACTTCCATCACACTTCAGCTCATAATCATATGCAACTGCACCCACATCACTCTCACTTGTCTCACGACACACACTTTCGCTCAC